AGAACTGGCGCCAGCGCAGGACGTCGACCGGCCGAACGGCGACTCTGTGACCAGTCGACGCCCCGGCGACCGTTTCCGACGCGTTGTCGTCGACGCTGCCGCGGCCCGACGCCGTCTCGAGGCGCGAACGGCGCGACAGAGCGGCCGGCCGCGGCTTCGATGGACCCTGCGGTTGGGCCGTGGCAGCCAATCGACGCAGGTACAGCTCATCATCGCCCTCGCCCTCGTCGACTTTGCCACCTGCCTTGTCGTTCTGCCCGGCGATCTGGTGCGCACCATCTGCTCCGCCCTTGTCGACTGCTCTTGGTCGTCCACATCACCCTCGCCGTCGCCCTCGCCGTTGGCATTGACGTCAGCCTCGGCCTCGCCGTTCGTTGTCACGGGCTGGCGTCATGTCCTCAGCGACCTGCTCAATGACGCGCGCACTTTCGTCTTCGCCTGCGAGGGCAGCATTCTGGCCGCCATCGCCGTCGATCGCTTCTTCGCCGTCGTCACGGCCAGACCGAGTCGCCGTCTCCTCGCCGACCGACAGCCGGACGTCGAGACGATGACCGAGGCGACGGTCGATGCAAGGCTGCAACGACTGTGCTCTCGGTCTCCGTCGGACCGTCAGCGTCGGCGTCGGCGTTGCTCCCAGTTGGCGGGTCGTTTGGCTCGTCTGCTCGGTGGACCGGTGAGCGAGGTCAGTCGGTGTCGTATCATCGCCGCCGTCGTCCTGTTGCCAAGCTGTGGAGTGCTCGGCCTCGAGACGACGGTGTTTTTGCTGCACTCATCGGTCGATTTAGCCACGTCATGTCGCCTTGGCGAACAACTTCGTCACAGCGTTAATCAGGCCTATCTCATCTGTTCTCTCTTCTCTCTGCTCGTCATCTCCACACTGTACACCTGCATCTTCTTCACGGTCCGGCGGCAGGACTTGCGCAAACAGAACTGGGCCAGAGAATCGAGGCTGGGCCTTGGCGTCGCCGGTTGTGCTGTATCACACGCGGCCTGCCCAGACCAGCAACTTGTGACGACAACGACAAACACGTCGAAGACAGACCACGATGTGCCCACGATACCCTC